GACTACTTGCAAATATTTAAAGTCTTATTTCAATGCTAGACTTAGTGTGTAAAAACATGAGCTGGCTCAGAAGAGAGAGAACTTAAAAACACTATTTTTTTGTAGTGCTAACGATTAAAGTTACTACTTTCAGTCAATATGTGCCATTAAATAAATGAACCTGTGGAATTAGGAAATAACCTTCCAACCAAAGTGGATCTGGGGGAATGACTGGTGCTTAAATTGAAAAAAAAAAGGTAAATATGTATAGTTATCCCATTGTATATTAATTGAGGTGAGAGAAGTCTTTATAAAAACCTATTTAAATTTTCATATTTCATCTTTGAAAGAGTAATTATAAACCACAATATTTTCTGGTATAAAGGTTTTTGACAGTATTAATATTATTTTTATATTTTCTTAAGTCATATCATTCTAATACATTGACAAGTAAAATGGGTTATTAGTTATAAATGCATATAGTTTTTTGATGAAGATAAAAGCACATTTAAGTTCCCATTTTCTACAAACGAAGTACATGTGTATATTAAAGATACCAAATTATATATAAATATATATAAATAAAATACACAACACTAAACGTTGGGGTGGGCAGAGTCGAGGAACCCCTACCCCGCCTTCTGCTTGTGTGGTGATGGGCCATCTTGGCAGGCCCAGAATGTTACTATTTGTGCTGGTTGAAAATGCCAATGTTGCCTGTATTTATGATATTGTCACCATGTTTCCTCAAAACCCACCCTTACCATGTTTACAGAGTTGTTTGCTGTGCATAACTTTAGTCATGTGCTTTGCACAATCAGTGTGGCTTCTGTCTGTAAATTGTTAATGTTTTGTACCTTCTGCTAAAAATGTTGGTGAATTTAACACGTGGGGTTTTTTTTGTTTTTGTTTTTTTAGTTTCCTGGAGTACACCATTGAAAACTTATATTGGACCCTACAATCTATTGCAGTTGTATGCCACAATGATTTCAGGTCAAAGTACAGATGTTTGTTGTGTTGACGTTCCCTACAGAGCATCTAAACTGCAGTTGCAAATGAGTGGTAAATACAAGCACTGGCAGTTTCTAAAATTGGAGTGAATTGTGGAAATACAGGTGTGTCAGTTTCTGTCTAGTAGGTGCTACATCATCCTCTGCTTCCAATTATGCTGAACACTGGTAATTTTCCCAAGTTGTTTGCACTTGGCAACCAAATGTTGCCATGTGATGTTTCACACTGCCAAGTGCATGGGGTTTGGTGCTTAGTTAACTTACCCTTATTGCAGTACTTCTGTGAATAGCTAATGCTTTGGAACTGGAATTGTACATTTTGTATTTTAATTTTAAAGCTCCTGTAAGTAAAAATAACCTTATTTGCTTTATTAAAGATATACCTTTAATAGTAGGTTATATCTTGTTAAAATAAGGTTTCTGCTGAAGATAATGAGCACCATCAAGCTGCAAGTTAATTTCAGTGGAGCTTTCCTTGCTAGCCCCCAAATTACAACATTCACACAAATAGATACGTGCTCTGAGCTGAAATACCCCTAGGTCTGTCCCATTTTGAGGATAAGGCATGATTGTGGAATTACTGAAAAGATGGCACATTCGCTCTAGATGCAGCTGGATCGTGGTTGGTATATGAGGGTCTTGTGTGTGTGGTGGTAGGGAAAGAAAACCCAAAGTCATATTGGATAGAGGCAAGCCCCTTGCAAGGAACTGTTGAATCCTGGCCTTGCAAAAGCAGGCACCATCCCTTTGTTTCAGTACTAATACCCAACACTTGATCGTCTCTGTGTAGTCTTCCTCAACCTGGTGACTACATCTTCCAACATCCCTTCCTATTGGCTGTGTTGGCTTGGGCCTATGGGACTTGGAGACCCAAGCAGCTGGAACACACCAGGCTGCAGAAGGCTGCTCTGGAGCTTAGAAGAGCCTTGCAGCACGGAAACAAAACCTTGCTCCTAGATGCCTCCAGGGCAGGAACCGAGTGCTCTCCAGCTCTTTTCCCACTACTGCCAAGACAGCATGATAGAGAACACTGTCTAGATTGGGGGCGGGGGGCGGAATCCCCTCATAAAGACTGTTATATTATCTCACTTTTGATCCCTCGTTCTTTTACTTATTTACAAAAATGAGGCTCTTGTGCCTTAAAACACTGCTGCATTTGTGAAGCTCCCTCTGCTTGACACGCAACTGATTTCTCCCCTCCCTGTGCCATTAAGGATTAAGTACTTGCTTGAATTTCTCAAAAGCATGTGGGTTCCAGCCTGCTAACATAATGTAACTTTGATACCAGTGATTTTCATTCAGGTGCCTCTTTCAGTGTTAACTTACCAAGTATGAAGTCATAGCAAGGAGCGTGTATTCACAATGCTACATGAAACCAAAAGTCCCGTAGCTCCTGCTCTGATGTGGGTGTAGAACTGATGTGGGATCATTTGCAGAGGTCATTAGAAACCTCACCTACACCATCCCAAAATCCATTTTCTTTGTTGAGCTAGCCCTTAGACATGGTACCTAGGCCAAGCCAGCTTCAGTCCCTAGTATTCTCTATGCTTACAGCAGGCATGGCTAGACTTGGCCCTCCAGATGTTTTGGGAGCTAACAGGACCAGTGGTCAGGGATGATGGGAATTGTAGTCCCAAAAAATCTGGAGGGCCAAAGTTTGGCCCTGCCTGGCTTACAGTCTTAATACTACCGAGTGTAGGGTATTAAACACATGCTATGTGGACACCTTTTCTGAATGGAAATGTATCTGGATTCCTAACCCAAGCTACCTAGCAGACATTGTGTATATTGTCTATAGGTCTTGCCCAGCCTGTCTCATCCAGATGTTTTGGACTAGAACTCACATGGGCTGGCTGGGACTGATAGGATAGCATTCAGTTAAAAGGCTGCCCCCTAGGCATTGGTAACTAGTGTGCTTGGTACCAGAACTATAGCTGGTCCCATAATGCAACAGCACAAGTGGTGAGGGACAGGAATATAGATGATTGCAAGAACAGCTGTCTATAAAGAGTGTGGCAAAGCTTTTTCAGATGTCAGACCTGGAGCAGGAAGAATAAGTGTCTGCTTCAGGAAGGAAATTTTTGACCAGCATTGATGAGTATCTAGAACTCCTATTGACACATCAAAGTCTCACTGCCTCATTCAAGGCTTGATATGGGCACTCTATATCCTCAAAACCTATCCAACCTGTCCCGTGTAGCATCTTGTACTGATGTTTCATTTAAGTATGTGGGCATCTATAGCACTTAAGTTCCATACCATGTAAGCATGTAAGCAGTACCTCACCAACTATTCTGTACACTTAAGTCTTCTCTTTCCACCATCTTTCTGCCCTTGTCCTCATCCAAATTTAACAGACTCAACAGACTTGCGACAAATAGTCTTGGTTTTATTATTAGAAAATTATTAGAAAATTCATGATTCAAAATGGCAGAATGTGCTTTGATCCCACTGCCTTAACTAGTCAGGTACTAGTCGTCTTCTTGCCTCACTCTGCTTTAGAACAGGTCTGATTGCCCAGCTACAATACAGCATTCTGCCTGGGGTACCTCACTGCATTATCATGTGCAATCGATGTGAATTTAGCAGCAGTTCCAGAAAGTAATGTTTAAAGTTAGAAAGAACATTGAAAATGTATGTTTTAAGTTACAATACCTGGATCTGCTCCACTTGCAGGATACCAAATGATATGGAATTGCTGAAGAGTGCATTCATTCTAGATGCAGCTGTTGTGTGGCTGTATCCTACAGCTGTGCTGCAAAGAACTGCACAGCTGCCGTGGACAGCCTCCCAGGGCCCTGAGGCCAGTGGCAGAGGCTAGAGAATGCCTCCCTTCATCTTGGAGAGGATTAACAGGTGCTTTGCCTCTGGCTCGAGTGTGTTGTGTAGTGGCCTTCATTGTAAGTTGGGAGTAAAAACAATTTCTAACATGAAAACCCTTTGTATCAATATGCTGTCATTTGTTACCATAGACTGGAAACATAACTTAGAAACTTTTAGTTAATAAGCATGGTTGGGGGAGAGCTCCCATTTTATACTACTCCTGGTCCAGGGGGCAGGGGTCCATTCCACCAGCAGTGCAAATGTAGTAGGAGAGGCTTTGCACCACCAGTTTCAGTGATAGAATGAGCTGCTGTTACTACTTCACATCAACTCACTATGCTCCTTTTACATTGTATAGCTTTAGGTTTCTCTTTTCTTTTTTGAAAGGAGAGAAATCCCCCACGCCAACAGTCCTCTTTTACAATTAAGTGCTCTGGCAGCAGCTACTTTGCCTAGTCAGGGGAGATAGCTGGGGCTACAGCAAACAAGGAAAGTAGTTTTAAGCAATAATAAAAGGGAGCTATAAACTGAGCAAGCAAACTCTGGGTGTTTCTGATGGTTAGAGCTGTTTTGACAGTGGAATAGACTCCGTCGGGAGGTTGTGGGCTCTCCTCCTTGGATGTTTTTAAGCAGAGGTTGGATGACCATCTGTCAGGGATGCTTTAGTTGAGATTCCTGCATTGCAGGGGGTTGGACTTGATGACCCTTGAGGTCCCTTCCACCTCTACAATTTTATGATTCTAAGTGAAAAGCAGCAATGCACCAGCTCCTCTGCATTCCAAAGCAGCTGTGGTGCTCTTTTGTCACTCATTCATAAAGTGTTATTACTGAGGCAATCTTACCCAACCTGCAACCTTTCAGACAGTTTGAACTTCAACTCCCATGAACCCTGGATAGCACAGCTATATAGTCTGGAGTCAATGAGTTTTAGTCCAAAACACCTGGAGGGCATTGGCTGGGGAAAATAATTCATGCTAAGCTACGATACCAGCTATCCTTTCCCTTAGAATCCATGGGGGAAAACCTCAGTTCACTGCCTAGAATCTTTCAGTAAGTACTAGCAAGAAACATTTAAAACATTGCTAGAACGTTAGCAGTCCAGGAGGGAAAGAAAATAATATTTTATAAAAGCACACTGAGAACTATGGAGATATGGATTGATCTGAAAATATTAAGTGGTTCAAAACAGCCAGTTGAAATATCTTTATTTTTCCCTCTACTGCATGTATGTATCAGGATCAATATGGTTTTTACTACAGAAAAGGAATACACATTAAAGTAATCAAAGCTTAGCAGTGCCCTTTATGAGTGATAATGTTTAATTCCATACAAATAAGAGGCAAAAGGAGGTGTTTTGTCAGTAGGCATGTGACAATTCTCTCTTCCAAGCACTAACAGGTAACTGCATACACCACCACATTGTTATAATCTCTTGCTCTTTTCACCATATCCGGAATGAGATTTTAATGTAAAAATGTTAAGTACCCCTTCTTTACCAACCTTCTTCATGGGTCACTGGGCTAGAATGTAATGTCACCTGGAGAACTGATGCTCTGAGGCAATGGCAAATGTTGATAATAATACCCATCAACCTTGACCTTTTAAGCAGTGACATTGTAGCTGAAGGAATATGCAGTGCACTATGTCATTTTTCCTTTTGCACCCAAGGTGGGGGATAAAGCAAATGGCATTTACTAGTTGATGGCAAAGAGGATGAAATGAAGGCAGGAATGTGTTCTGTTAAGGAAGCACAATTCAGCTGGCTTTCCATCAGGTGCTGGATTTATTCCTCTCCTTTAAAGAGGAGGGGACTAATGGATCTTCCAGATTCACTCCCCATTTCCTTCAAGGATTCACAAGTGTGCCAAGGAGCACAGTATCAGTCTGCAACAGTCTTCCCTGCATTTGGAGAGGGAGATGCATCCGCAATAGTAGCTAAATAAATCAGGTTTCTGTGCAGTGTGTGCTGGTGTCTGTAACAGAGAAACAGAAGAATGAGATTCCTTACGGCAACTGAAATAACAGAATTGCTCTGGCAGCCAGCATATAAGTGACAGTAGGATTTAGCTCTCTATTTTGCTCACTTTATACTTGAGAAAGCAGAGGGAAGGGAAGAGTTGTTAATTAATAAGAAGCCAATAATATTTTTGAATCTTCTTAGCTTCTTTCCCCTGTTCCTGATAGTATTTTATTTTTAAATTGAAGGATTTTTTTTTAAAAAAATACTAATTAAGTCAATGTTTTGTTGTTGTTTAGTCGTTTAGTCGTGTCCGACTCTTCGTGACCCCATGGACCAGAGCACGCCAGGCACTCCTGTCTTCCACTGCCTCCCACAGTTTGGTCAAACTCATGTTGGTAGCTTCGAGAACACTGCCCATGTTTAATGATGTTTAATGATCACTTAATTCCTGCAAAGGCATAGATGAGTGGGCAATGATGCACACTGGAGCACATCATTCTAACTTTACATTCACACTGATGAAGTCTGAACTAGCAGTGTCTAACCAGGGAAGATCTTGCTGTTGTGGTACACAGCTCTATAAAATCATCAAGCTTGTGCAGTGGCAGCAAAAGGGGGAAATGTTAGGGATTATTAGAAAAGAAATTAAAAATAAAACAGCCACTATTACAGTGGCCTTTCAGAAGTCTAGGGCTGCCAAGAAGAAGGGGTCGGTACATCTGTAAGCTATTACCTCCCACATTAAATTCAGCGAAATAAACAAGATTTTCATTAATGCCCTGCACAGTCTGGTTGTGCTTTACAGACTAATTGCATTTATTTCAGCAACAATGTGCCTGATTTCAATTCTCCTTCACCTCCCCTGTAAATTTGCTAAGGACCAATGAGATTTATTCAAACCCACATCTTGCAATGAGACACGCAAGCTCTCTAAACAATTACTTGATTGTTTGCTTTAATCAAGCAAATACAAAAATGAAGTCCTGAAAAATGCATAATAGGCGACTCTTAGATTGAATTTACTTACTGCACACATTCTTCAGCTCTTCCTTTATTCTGATATTCCACAATACATCGAATCAGCTGGTCATTTTCTTCAAGCAGCTGAAAGTCACAACAGCACTGGATCAACTGCATATTACTGAAACTTGTTCAAGAACAACTACTTAACGATTACACTGGATAATTGTGAGGATGCTTTATAGACTGTGCACTACCATCTAACGATCAAGGAGGCAGTGTGTGGGTGGTCAGAGGCTTCAAAGGCACCAGGGAACAATTTAAGAGCACCATGGTGCCCACAGGTGTCCTACTGATGACCCCTGATTTCAGATTATTAAAGTGGGATGAAGAATATCCGGTACTAAAAGAATGTCAACTTCAGTCCTCAACTTATATACTTAAATATTAAAGGGTGAGTTTTCTTTTTGGTAGCGTTAAGAGTTTACTGTTACTGCAAAAGATACAGGATATTCTAGCAGACTATGCTATTCATTTGTTTTGGTCATCTTTCTGGCAGTGTACCGCTTTTTATTGTACTTGGTTATGGCCTCTCGCTAAGCAATCATAACCGAGGAGAGTGAAGGAGCCGATCTGCGCAGAGCCACTGATTTCGGCCAATCCTGAGAATGTACAGAGTGCACTGCCCTTCCTAATGCGCAGGCGGATCAGTGGGCGTTCCTTGACCAGGCTCGATGACGTCACGCTCTCAGCTTTTAAGCAGCCCGGACCAAATTCACGCAGCCTGCAAGAGGCGGGGAATGAAATTGCAAGACACTTCCGGTTCTAATCGACTAACTAACCCAATACAAAGAACCTGGCCAGAAAACCAGAGAGAGCGGAAAGGTAGAGCGGCGCTCTGACTCCTCCCGATGTTCTTGCCTTTCCTATGGCGGCGTACGGGAGTTAAAAACGGCTGCGTGAGCGACGCTCCCCTCCGCTCTCTCTATGGCGCCCGTCCCTTTCGCTCACCCGTTGCAACGTCTCTTGGTTCACCTCCGCCTTGCCTCGGAGTTTCTCCGGCACGAAAACCACCGACATCCCAGCGGAGGGAGCGGCAGCGGCTTATAAGCCTCACGCGAAAAGTGGGCCGCGACGCAAAGGTTGATGGGAGCAAAAGGACAATACTTTGCACCGATTGGCTGCCCCTGTGCAGCCTCGGAAGCTCGCTTACATGAATGCAGATCATTAAATGTAGAGTAGTCCAAATCCCGGTGTGGCTACGAAGCTTCCGAGTTTTGAAAATTCCGACCAGCTAAACGGCTTAGACTACAGTGAAAGAATTTATGTATATGAGAGAGAAGAGTGTGCCAGTCAATTTCTAGCGTTACGGAAGAGGGAGAAAAACTTTACTTTCTCTGCGCTATGCATAATTTTGTGGATTTCTATCACGTCAGGCTGCAGCAAAGACCGTGCTAATTAAGGGGCCTGCTCGCCACTCCCTTCCCAAATCGGCGCTCACTCGCAGCACAGACTAGCAAAGCCTGCAACGAAAAATCTCAAGTTAACCCGGGAGCTATGCAGTGCGTGCGACTCTACATCCTTCCTTCAGTCTATAGTATACGTATCAGAGGAACTCCCTCCCTCTCCCCCGCCGTTCTTCGAAGCCTTCGTAGCAATTGGCCAGTCGGGCCGGTGGAGGCGGGCTCTGAAAACAAATTACGACGGCGGGGCCTCGGTTGTGTTGGGAAGGCGGGCTATGGGCTGATTGGTGAGCCTGAAGGCTCGAGGGGCGGACGTGATTGGTCAGGGGCACGAAAGGTGGGCGGGGCCAGGTCGAGGTGAGTTGCCAGGGCTCCGGTTGTCAAGCGGCAGTCAATCAGGGTGGGGGATGGGAGCGGGTGGTGGAGGCGGAGAGCGCTGAGAGCCGTTCAGACGGAGGAGCGCGCGGGTAGGAGACAAGCAAGGCCGGCCGAGACGGGCCTCACGTCGGGGTAGGCCGTGGGTAGCCGCAGCAGCCCCCACCCGAAATCTCCCTGGAGCGGCGGCTGGCCCGGGAAGGCCTTCGGGCTGCCACCCGGGGCCGGGTCGGCCTGTTGACATTCCCTCCTCCGAGCAGGTGCTCGCCTGTCCGGCGGTGTGTGCTTCGGAGGTCCCGGCCAGGCCTCGCCGGAGGGGAGAGGGCTGCTTCTCCTCCGAGCACCGCATGAGGTGGATGGGTGGGATCTTTCTCTCCCCGGGAAGAGTTGGCTGGCCTAAGAGAAGGGGTTTCCTCGGGGCTGAATGGGATCTGCTGCCCGCAGCACTTTGCGGGGTGGGGGTGGGAATGTTCACAAGGTCGGGTGGCTCCCTCGGATTTGAGTCACTTGCTCTAAGCACCGGTGGCTGGGAGGTGCTGACTGGGAGAGGGACGCTGCCCTCGTGCGCTGCTTTGTGGGGTTCTTGGGGGGGGGGCGAGATCTGGTTTCTGGGTCTTAATAGGCCTTTAGCCTGATCCAGGCTCTTCTGAGAAGCTGGCTGAGATCACCTCGCCTATGTCACCCATAAAAACTCCATCCTGACTAACACCTGTAGGGATGCAGCACACACGTATTTATTTGTTTCATAAAATGCTGCTTGATTAGAAAAGCAAAAGCTCGAAGTGTTCTACAAAAAGAATAAAGCATTGCAGTTATTAGTAAACAGAGGCAATATTTTAAAACATTGAAAAGTAATTAAGGTTGGCAATAAGCAAAAACAAAAAATGATTAAAATATGTGTCAGCATCTTGCATACATGGGTAGGCTTGCTATTAGCAGGTGCCAAAAACAGTACTGTGAAAGTGTGGGCCCTACCACACTAAAATATTGATTTCTTACCAATGTGGAATAAGTATTATATGCCACCTGTAACAGAGGCAGTTCATCAGTTCTGTACAATGGGGTAGTAATCCTCAATCTAGAAATTACATGTGTGGGTGGAAATTTGACAGTAAATTGAGGAGTGGAGCATGCAGACAAGATTTAACTCCCTCCTGGAGGCAGGCTGTGAACAAAGTGTATTTTTGAAGGCCACCTGTCAGTTTTAGGGATCCTACTTTCAGGATCAATTCTGTGCCCCACTGTCTGTCTCTACACTACTCCCAATAGTTGTGCTAGTTGTATCCCAAAGCATCTGAATAACACCAAGTTGTCAAAGTCTGCTCTAATTTGTTGCTCGTTGGTGTAATGACAAAAGTACCTTTTATTGTTATTGGAAGATACACAGAAAAGTAGGAGTTCCTGATCACTTACATTCCATGTTTAAAAACAGAATTGGGTTGTATCCAGCCAAGTACTACTTGGAATATATCCAGTACAATTAATGTACCTAACTTAGTCATGTTCATCAATTTCAGTGGGTATACTCTGAGGAGGACTAATACTGTATGCAGCCCAATTCTGGAAATACAGTCATACCTTGGAAGTAGAACTTATTGCCAGTCGAATGTTTTGGCTCCCAAACACCACAAACCCGGACGTGAGTATTTCGGTTTGCATCCGACGTGGGTTCCGTGGGTTCTGATTGGCTGCAGGAGCTTCTTGGTTTCCAAACGTTTTGGAAGTCGAACAGATTCCGTTCAACTTCCGAGGTACAACTGTACCTGTTCTAAGTTATTGTTATAAAAAAATGATAAATGAAGAAACCTGCTAAGCTCTATTTTAATGTAGTTTGTTTTTCTGCTGTATTATCTGAACTGGTTTAAAACGAACACTTTCCTCCTAGGTAACTTTATTGACTGCTTCCTGGGATTTTGCTTGCATTCTGGAAGAAATAGGCCACTGAATAAGCCTAGGAGACATCTTTATATTTTAAAAATAAAAGTGCCATTGCCTTGACTGCTGCAGGACAGTTCAGAAACTTGAACCTTGTATCTGGGGGGTTGAGCCCCACACATGCTGATGAAAACAGAGCTTTGGGAGAGAAAAGAAGACTGCTTTCTGTAGCTGCGTGAGAATCACTGCAATGGCAGCTGCAGTTGCCACCAAGACAGCTTGGAAGCTGCGTAAGTGAAGTCCACTCTTCTGCGTTTATAAATGGGATGTGTTCAGTGCCTGCAATTTTGTCTTCCACTCCTGCTTGACAGCTTGGGTTTCAGCGTTCCCCTGATCACTAGCATCAGACTTGGAGTCAGGTACCTGGTCCAGCTGCTTAGCTGATGACTTAGTGTCTTGTGTCAAATTATATTTAAAAAATCTTACTATGGCCAGAAGGGCTTACATTCAGGCAAGTGGACATAGAATAATTAGCTTAAAAAGCTACAATACATACCAGATATGTGTACCTGTTCACGTATGCCTCATCAGTAAATGCCAGCTTAAATGTATTGATTTTTGTGTGGGGCTGTAATGGGAGAGAGATGTGGTGATAAAATGTGCTCATGTCTGCGTTTGCTTTTTTTGTATAGAAGAAATCACTGCTCACAGCAGCAATGTTTCTTCACTTGTGTTGGGCAAAAGCTCAGGTCGGCTCCTTGCAACTGGTGGAGATGATTGTCGAGTTAATATCTGGTCAATTAACAAGCCGAACTGCATTATGGTAAGGATTGGCTAATTTCTCTTTGCTTGTGGGCAGTGTGAGTCAGGGAGCAACCTCTGGCATTAGCTTTAGCCACCCTCCTTTCTAAACTGGATCAAACATGAGAAGGGAGGTTTGTTTTAATCTGTGCTTTCGGTAATTTGGCTAGATACACCTAAGTGAGTCAAAGTAAAGTGCAGTTAAGGCCAAAGGGCTGAGGGAAGAACAAGTTGCATTGACTGGCGCCTTGTGGATTGTTCCTCCCTCAGTTTGAGGGACAGAGCATGATGGCACCTTCACCCAGCGGTAAATTGCAGGCACTGCTGCTCAGGATATACAGTGATACCTTGAGTTACAAACGCCTCAGGTTACAAACGCTTCACATTACAAACTCTGCTAACCTGGAAGAGTTACCCCAAGTTGAGAACTTTGCCCCAGGATGAGAACGGAAATCGTGTGCCGGCGGCGCAGCGGCAGCAGCGAGAGGCCCCATTAGCGAAAGCACGCCTCTAGTTAAGAACAGTTTCAGGTTAAGAATGGACTTCCAGAACGAATTAAGTTTGTAACTAGAGGTACCACTGTACCACCAGGTAAAGGCACCATTGCACTCTGGCCCTCAAAATGGTCCTGGGCGATGTATCAATACATCACCGAGGCCTAAAGATGACATTCTGGTCTCTTCAAAAACCAGGAAGTAGTTGGATCTGACATTAGCAGGGTTTCAGTCAAGTGTCCTTCCTTTGTTTTTCATGCAGATCTGGAGACATTTTCTCCACCACCACCTTGCCCCCTGTATTTTGACCTATGAGGAGCTAAGTTGAGCTATTGAGACTTGTATGAGTGGCTGCCTTGGGAGCTGTGACTGTAGATCCCAGTATGTGTGTAATCCTTTGACTTGGAAGGGCCAAGAAGCTGCAGTGGTATCCCTTTCCACAGCAATGGCCAGTTTGAAATAGTTTTTCTTTTGAATGATTTTTCTTCCAATCCAACCCCTGCACTTTTTCAAAAGGGCATTTCTCTTCTCTTCCACCCCTGCCCCTCGTTTTTTGTATGGTAACTTACTAGTGCTGCAGAATTGAATCTAGAGTGGGCATTTCAACTGTTGCAGTACAGAGCATGATGTTCTTTGTACTACTGTATAGTTTGTGGGAAGTTTGTGATGCAGCTTCATTTCATGCTAGCTGATGGAGCTGCAATTCATTATACAGGAGTAAGTTGCTGAACTCAGTGGAATTTACTTTTGTCCAGGTAGACATCTAGCCATAAACCTGCATTTCTGGTTGATGTGCTTAGTGCACCAGTGTCTGTCCGCGGCTTTGAACATGGCTTTCACCTAATCATTTCTCTACTTGTGGTGTGATGAGTGTAAACATCCTAGCTGTCCTTGTTGTTGCATGCCTTCCTGTGGAGTGGGCCACCTTCAGATGATTCACTACTGCTTTTTCATTTTGCCCAGAGTCTAACGGGTCACACCACACCCGTGGAGAGTGTGAAGATTAATACGAATGAAGAGCTGATTGTTGCGGGGTCCCAGTCAGGCTCCATTCGGATCTGGGATCTGGAAGCTGCCAAAAGTAGGTTCAGAGCCAATTCTTCTACCACTTTTCAGGTTGCCCAGCAGCCCCTTACTTTGCAAAGAGCAGAGAAAGAGAGAGACAGCGCAAGCACACAAGAAAGGAC